CCAATTTTATCTCGGCCTTTTAATGAAATCACTTCCATTATCACTAAGCATTCAATTATATCAGCTCCTGTTGATTTTATTAATTGCACGGCAGCAGCCATGGTACCTTTAAATAATATATATATTTCATCCGTTTTTAATATTTATATATTCTGAGTAACACATAATTAAAAACTATTTCTCATTTTACCTCCAGTTGCCAGCAAATCATCAACAATAAGCACTCTGCTTCCCTTCTTAATAAACTCTGTTTGCAACTCAAATGTGGCCTGAAAAAATAGAAATTGATTTATATACATTACATATGAAAAAAATTATTTTTAAACAATCAACATTGTGTTTTCGAACATACTTCACCATACTCTAATGCATATTTCTGTTGAGTGACCTTGCCTGGAAGTTTCCCTTTTTTTCTAATGGGCAAGAATGGTTTGCCCAATTCCATACAGATCATAGGACCAAATAGAAAACCACGTGAGTCCAGTCCTACAACTAAATCGATTTCAAGAAATAAAATATGCTCCATGATTAAATCCTTCAATGCCCTTAATGCTGTGATATTGTGGAACACAGCAAATATGTCCCTGAAAATAAATGATTTACATAATACAATAAATGTGAAACAAGGAAATTGACATCAAATTAATAATATATCGATCTCGATCTCGTAATTCTTTAAAAAATTTTATTTTTTTTTTTTCTTTAAGATCGGCTTACCGGAAAATGATTCCAGGCTCAGGAAAGTCGGGATAACTCTTTATAGCATTCTTCAATATTTGCAATTTATCATTTTTATCCATTGTGATGTATATAATTGAACTATATAATAGTGATGTCAGATCTTGTTAACTGTTGTACTAGACGATTTTCTTTCTCGTAAATAAATTTAATTAATTAATTAATTAATAAACAATTGTACTTTTATAATAAATTCACAGCAATGAGACGGAATGTGTCGAAATGTTAAAATAACTAACTGACAATGTTAGATATCGATTATCTACTGAAATTTCTTAAAATTTCTTAATTATATATGCCAAATTTAATATCAACTCGATTATCAATTTGATAAGACTTATCTTATCAAATTCTTATCTATTTTTTGTAAGGCATTTGTTAAATTTTCTAAAAATATAGGGTTATGGGAATGTTTGAGAGTGTAACGATTATATCGATAAAGTAAATAGTAAAAAATCTTTACCTGTTTGATCAACGAGATATGTTTTACCGACAATGTAAAGATTTACTTACCTACAGTAGTGCAGCAAATTTTTTTACCGGAAATAAGTTAGCGCTGGAAGTTCATATTTTTTAATAATTTATAGCTCAAACGATTGCTCCTTAATTGCTCCGTCAGAATCCACAATTGCTCCCCTTTTAAAATTAGTAGTTTTCGAAATATTTACAAAAAACGTAAAATTTATCATTTTCACTCAAAAACATATTTCCAATAGTTTTTTGCAACTATATCCAGTATAAAACGATTGCTCCTTAATTGCTTCGCATTGCTCCATCATTATTTTCATGATTTATTGCATTTTTTATCGAAAATTAACAAATTAATAATTTTCCAAGCGACGCCGTCGCCACCTATCGGCCGCCTATCGGAACTATATAGCTCAGAAGCCAACGGCGAGAATTTTCAAACATAATATAACATAAAACGATTGCTCCTTAATTGCTTCGCATTGCTCCATCATTATTTTCATGATTTATTGCATTTTTTATCGAAAATTAACAAATTAATAATTTTCCAAGCGACGCCGTCGCCACCTATCGGCCGCCTATCGGAACTATATAGCTCAGAAGCCAACGGCGAGAATTTTCAAACATAATATAACATAAAACGATTGCTCCTTAATTGCTTCGCATTGCTCCATCATTATTTTCATGATTTATTGCATTTTTTAACGAAAATTAACAAATTAATAATTTTCCAAGCGACGCCGTCGCCACCTATCGGCCGCCTATCGGAACTATATAGCTCAGAAGCCAACGGCGAGAATTTTCAAACATAATATAACATAAAACGATTGCTCCTTAATTGCTTCGCATTGCTCCATCATTATTTTCATGATTTATTGCATTTTTTAACGAAAATTAACAAATTAATCATTTCCCTAGCGACACCGTTGTCACCTATCGGCCGCCTATCGGAACTATATAGCTCAGAAGCCAACGGCGAGAATTTTCAAACATAATATAACATAAAACGATTGCTCCTTAATTGCTTCGCATTGCTCCATCATTATTTTCATGATTTATTGCATTTTTTATCGAAAATTAACAAATTAATAATTTTCCAAGCGACGCCGTCGCCACCTATCGGCCGCCTATCGGAACTATATAGCTCAGAAGCCAACGGCGAGAATTTTCAAACATAATATAACATAAAACGATTGCTCCTTAATTGCTTCGCATTGCTCCATCATTATTTTCATGATTTATTGCATTTTTTATCGAAAATTAACAAATTAATAATTTTCCAAGCGACGCCGTCGCCACCTATCGGCCGCCTATCGGAACTATATAGCTCAGAAGCCAACGGCGAGAATTTTCAAACATAATATAACATAAAACGATTGCTCCTTAATTGCTTCGCATTGCTCCATCATTATTTTCATGATTTATTGCATTTTTTATCGAAAATTAACAAATTAATAATTTTCCAAGCGACGCCGTCGCCACCTATCGGCCGCCTATCGGAACTATATAGCTCAGAAGCCAACGGCGAGAATTTTCAAACATAATATAACATAAAACGATTGCTCCTTAATTGCTTCGCATTGCTCCATCATTATTTTCATGATTTATTGCATTTTTTATCGAAAATTAACAAATTAATAATTTTCCAAGCGACGCCGTCGCCACCTATCGGCCGCCTATCGGAACTATATAGCTCAGAAGCCAACGGCGAGAATTTTCAAACATAATATAACATAAAACGATTGCTCCTTAATTGCTTCGCATTGCTCCATCATTATTTTCATGATTTATTGCATTTTTTATCGAAAATTAACAAATTAATAATTTTCCAAGCGACGCCGTCGCCACCTATCGGCCGCCTATCGGAACTATATAGCTCAGAAGCCAACGGCGAGAATTTTCAAACATAATATAACATAAAACGATTGCTCCTTAATTGCTTCGCATTGCTCCATCATTATTTTCATGATTTATTGCATTTTTTATCGAAAATTAACAAATTAATAATTTTCCAAGCGACGCCGTCGCCACCTATCGGCCGCCTATCGGAACTATATAGCTCAGAAGCCAACGGCGAGAATTTTCAAACATAATATAACATAAAACGATTGCTCCTTAATTGCTTCGCATTGCTCCATCATTATTTTCATGATTTATTGCATTTTTCATCGAAAATTAACAAATTAATAATTTCCCTAGCGACACCGTTGTCACCTATCGGCCGCCTATCGGAACTATATAGCTCAGAAGCCAACGGCGAGAATTTTCAAACATAATATAACATAAAACGATTGCTCCTTAATTGCTTCATATTTAAGATCGTCTTAAGCCCGTATCAGACTACGCATTGAAGATTGAGATCGAAGATTGAAGATTGAAATTTGACCAATTAAGACAAAGAAATTTTAGTTTCTTTTATACCAATTAGTCAAATTCCAATCTTTAATCTTTATTTTTCAATCCATTGTTTTCAATCTTCAATCTCAATCTTCAATGCGTAGTCTGATACGGGCTTTAGATAGGACCAAACATGTTTCAACACGTTAAGCCCGTATCAGACTACGCATTAAAGATTGAGATTCGAAGATTGAAGACTATGGATTGAAAAATAAAGATTAAAGATTGGAATTTGACTAATCAGAACAAAAAGGATTAAAATTTCTTTGTTCTGATTGGTCAAATTTCAATCTTGAATCTTGAATATCAATCTTCAATGCGTATGTCGCTAGGGAAATTATTAATTTGTTAATTTTCGATGAAAAATGCAATAAATCATGAAAATAATGATGGAGCAATGCGAAGCAATTAAGGAGCAATCGTTTTATGTTATATTATGTTTGAAAATTCTCGCCGTTGGCTTCTGAGCTATATAGTTCCGATAGGCGGCCGATAGGTGACAACGGTGTCGCTAGGGAAATTATTAATTTGTTAATTTTCGATGAAAAATGCAATAAATCATGAAAATAATGATGGAGCAATGCGAAGCAATTAAGGAGCAATCGTTTTATGTTATATTATGTTTGAAAATTCTCGCCGTTGGCTTCTGAGCTATATAGTTCCGATAGGCGGCCGATAGGTGACAACGGTGTCGCTAGGGAAATTATTAATTTGTTAATTTTCGATGAAAAATGCAATAAATCATGAAAATAATGATGGAGCAATGCGAAGCAATTAAGGAGCAATCGTTTTATGTTATATTATGTTTGAAAATTCTCGCCGTTGGCTTCTGAGCTATATAGTTCCGATAGGCGGCCGATAGGTGACAACGGTGTCGCTAGGGAAATTATTAATTTGTTAATTTTCGATAAAAAATGCAATAAATCATGAAAATAATGATGGAGCAATGCGAAGCAATTAAGGAGCAATCGTTTTATGTTATATTATGTTTGAAAATTCTCGCTGTTGGCTTCTGAGCTATATAGTTCCGATAGGCGGCCGATAGGTGACAACGGTGTCGCTAGGGAAATTATTAATTTGTTAATTTTCGATGAAAAATGCAATAAATCATGAAAATAATGATGGAGCAATGCGAAGCAATTAAGGAGCAATCGTTTTATGTTATATTATGTTTGAATATTCTCGCCGTTGGCTCCTGAGCCATATAGTTCCGATAGGCGGCCGATAGGTGGCGACGGCGTCGCTTGGAAAATTATTAATTTGTTAATTTTCGATAAAAAATGCAATAAATCATGAAAATAATGATGGAGCAATATGGAGCAATTAAGGATCAATCGTTTTATACTGGATATAGTTGCAAAAAACTATTGGAAATATGTTTTTGAGTGAAAATGATAAATTTTACGTTTTTTGTAAATATTTCGAAAACTACTAATTTTAAAAGGGGAGCAATTGTGGATTCTGACGGAGCAATTAAGGAGCCATCGTTTGAGCTATAAATTATTAAAAAATATGAACTTCCAGCGCCAACTTATTTCCGGTATAAAAAATGTAGAAGTAGTAAATATTTTATGTAGAGGCGAGGGACTTTGTCCTTCGTAACCTACTTAAAATATTTACTACTTCTACATTTTTTATTATATTATAAGTTATATTCCTAAATACTCTTAAACTACATTTCATATTCCGCACAGTTTCCCAAGTAACGCATGCACATGTGGCCATATTTCGTCGGTATAACAGATTTCCTAACTTAAAAAGTCATTAACTTTAACGATCAATATTTTGCTTCATAGGGCAAAAGCGACAGTTTTAATTGCCAGATTATTTCATTTCGTACAAAAATGCAATGAATAAGTGTATTTTTATCAAAATTTGAGGTAAGGTCTGTAAACTAAATATTTACTAACATGCTATTTATTAACATTATCTTGTCTGTTTCAGATATAGAAAGGAGAGCGCCATCTTGGCATAGTTAGCGTCTAGACGTACTTTTGAGTGCCTCCTGCGAAATTGTCAAATTATCTTGTTTTTAGACTTTCTAGAGTGCTTTATTCAGTCCTGAACCGCCTCACTATCGAGTGCCACATCGGGAATAGTGAAAATCCGGCGTTCAGAAGCTTGCCGTTCCCTTATTTCAACATCTTCGAGTGCGACTGTGACGACGTCTTTGTTCGCCTTTGTTCGCCATTGTCTGCGGCTTTTGCCGTCAAACTCTCTCAGCTTTCTCGAGAGAATTCCGTCTTTCCTTGCTCCTTCTCTACTCTCATCTTATATCCTTCCTGATTTCACCTTAAACTTCTTACTCCCCCAGAGGAGGGATCCTCCGATCCACGCGGGATTGACTCGGAATCTGCAAGTAAGTAAATAAGTGAGTAATACATCTATTACAACTACTACTACTACAATTACATTCCTTTCTAACAATGGATACGGATATGGATAAAGAAAACGAGGACCCTCAATTTGAGGCTGCCCTTAGCTCGTTGATCTCAGAAGCTCGTTCGACGTCCTTTACGAACAAAAAAGATCGTGGCAAGCGTTCCGGTGGACAGGAGGTACATCCTCCTGCGGTTAAGACTTGTCGCTCGAAATCGGACGAGAGCGTTAACACTATGCTCAGAATCCGAGAGCATTAACACTATCTCACACTCACACTCTGGCTCAGTTACCGGATCAGTTATCACACTGACAGATAATATTCGCAACAATCGTTATTCGGATGGTAATGCCGGACCCTTCGACGTCCACGTTCAACGAAAGTCGGACCCGGGGGCCCCGCTCCATCCAATTTCCGTAGGAAGAATCATCTGCGGTCTTAACATTCAAGATATTCTCGAGATCAAAAGAATAGGACTGTCCAAAGTGTTAGTTTTCTTCAAATCCGGGAGTGCAGCCAACTCCCTAGTACAAGATCAGAGGCTTGCTGCCAAAAACCTAGAAGCCTTTATTCCTCCTTTCCGTACCTCACGGAAGGCTATTATCAAGGACGTACCCTTACATCTTACGGATCAGATGATTCTTGACATCATCAGTAGCCCCATTAAAGTGGTGGCAGTCAACAGACTGAATCGTAGGATTTCAAGACCCTTTGTCAACAATTCTCAAGAACATGTTAACTCATCCAGTAATTACACTCCTTCTCTCACTGTGTTGCTTACCTTTGAGGGCCAGAAGATCCCCAAACACGTTACGATGTTCCATGTTAGATATCCTGTCTCACCATACATTTCAAAAGTCTCACGATGCAACCAATGTTTTAGATTCGGTCATATAAAAATCAACTGCAAGGGCCAACCACGCTGTGTACACTGTGGAGAAAAAGGACATATTTTCTCAAAGGAGAGTTGTCAGCTATCAGAGGCTCCTCCCAAGTGTGCGAATTGCCAAGGATGTCACAGAGCTGATTCGCCTACTTGCCCAGAATTCACCATCCAAAAGGAAATTAGAAAATTCGCTGCCTACAGGAACGTTTTACTGTTGGATGCCAGAGAGATCTTCAAAGGTAACAAATCCCCTCCTACCTATTCGTCATCTTCCGAGGAATTCCCCTCTCTCCCCTCCTCTTCACGCCGCTCAACTTCCACAAGGACACCATTCGTCTCATCCTTCATCCCCCGCATATGCCTCCTCCTTCTCCTCCTATGCTCAAGCAGCTAAAAGATTCTCTGATCCCGGTACCAAATTGCTCACTACTACTAATTCCAACTTAACGCGAGAATAAAAAATTAAATCTCTTTCTTTACCTTATCTTAAACCACACTCTGTCGCTCAATCTAGGAACGCGTCCGCTCTCTCTTCCTCGCATAATCCAACCCGCCCCTATGTTTCCTTTTCTGTTCCTCCCTCTCCTTCTCGGACTTCTCCTCCTTCACCGCCTGCGACCATGCCATCAAACACTAATTCTAATATATCATCTTTACAAGATCTTCTCCTCATTATCACCCCTCTTCTACCGCAATTGTCGTCATTATTTGCATCTATTAATCTACCTGAACTTATCCCCCCGTTATTCGAATTTTCCCGCCGTTATTCGAATTTTCCGTGACCTTGATACTAATAGCAATCAAGGCCTCCGTACCAATCTCAGTCATGACCAACAATCTTCTCAATAACCATCTTTCACTTCTTCAATGGAACTGCCCTGGCATTTTAAATAAAAGGGAAATGTTTACTCAAATTACGAACCAACACGACATCCTCGCTTTGTCAGAAACTTGGCTTACACCCGACAAGGGCTTCTTTCTTAATGGCTACCACATATTACGACACGACGGACCTTCGAACAAATTTGGCGGTGTTCTGCTGGCCATAAAAGATACAATTCCTTTTGAAAAAATTGACTCTGTCTTCACCTTAGACGGTGTACTAGAAGCGGTCGGGATGAGAATCCCGACCATGAACAACCACATATATATTATCTCCATCTACAGACATCCTGGACGACACGACTCCTCTATTTGGGACAGACATTTCAATTCCATTCCTGTGATCACATACCCGCCATCATCACAATCAGCTATCCAGTCAAAACTCGTACATTCTTCTCGCATAGGCTTCAGACATCAAAAATTAATCATAAAAAACTCTTTGCCTCATTTCTAAGTCATCTTTCCGTTCTCTCTCATAGCCTAGAGGCAGATCACATTTCTCCCGTCGAGAAATATAACATTTTCTGCAACTTTCTAAAAGACGTCATAATCTCTCTACTTCCCGAACGAAAGTCGACCAACAACCCTTCCTATGCTAACCATCACACTAGGAACAAAAACAATGGAAATAATACACGTCAATCATTCCCGCCAGCTCCCTGGTGGAATGAGGATTGTAATATGGCTGTGGAACTCAGGAAACAAGCTCTGCGCACATTTCGCAACAATCCTTCACGGTTCAACTATCTTTTCTTGAAAAAACAAGAAGCCTCAACTAAAAAAACTCTCCGACAATCTAAGCGAAAGGGATGGAGAGCCTTCAGCGAATCCATCACCTCCTTTACCAACATCTCAGCATTATGGAAAATGATTAAAAGATTTAAAAACAGATTTCTCAATGTCTGCAGCGCTCCGCTCACCACCAATTTCGGTGTCTCCAACGAAATCCAGAACTTAATTAATATCATCTCCCCTCCGTCTTGCCTCCACAAGCTCCCTCCTTCTAGTCTTGAGCGAGATCGTGAGTACTCCTGCCATATATTCGACAATCCCTTTCGCTTAGAGAAGATCCTCCATGTTGTTTCTTCTCTCAAAAAAAGGAAATCATCCCCAGGTATTGATCAGATCGACTATACCATCCTTTCCAATCTACCGGATGAATATTATCCAATCTTTCTTTCCATTCTAAACGGAATTTTCTCTTCGGGGGAATTTCCGGAATTCTGGCAACACTCTCTAGTGTTCCTCATCCCCAAATCAACTCCAGGTAAATTTCGTCCGATTTCTCTTACGTCCTGTTTGTGTTTGCCGTTTATAACCTCATCCATTCTCGCAAACTCCAATTCGTCGTTAACGGTGAGCTCTCGGACGTTTATTTCTCATACAAAGGAAAGGAGCAGGGCTCCATTCTTAGTCCCATTCTTTTTAACATCTATGTAGCCAAGCTCAACAAACACATCGGGGAGGAATGTGATCTTGTCCAGTTCGCGGACGACATTGCGATATTTGTAAGTTCTAACAAAATCGAATGTGCCCTCCTGGAATTGGAAAAATCGTGCAACAAAGCTGTTAAATTCCTTGCTTCCAAAGGTCTTTCGGTTTCGCCTTCTAAATCCTCTCTGGTCATATTCACGAAAAAACACATTAACCCCTTAGCATACTCTATTAACGTGGGCAACTTTGTCATCGAATTCTCACCTTTTTGCAAATTTTTAGGGATCCACCTCGATTTCCGCCTCTCTGGAAAAGATCATATCCGTGCTCTCTCTGCTCGTTGCTCCAAACTACTTAATATTCTTAGCATGCTGAGAGGAACATGGTGGGGAGGAGCTCCCCGCTCTCTTTTGAACATCTACAAATCTTTAATCAGAGATTCTATGGAGTACGGCTGTCTCACCTTTCCGTTCAATAATTTCTCCTCAATATACAACCTGGAAAAAATTCAATTTTGTGCCATACGCCACTGCTTAGGCCTCAGAAGAACCACTCCGACGAACGTCCTCCTTGCCGAGGCCGGAGGGTCCCCTGAAGCTTAGATTTAATTTTCTTTCCTCTAAATATATTCTAAAGATCTTTTCTCTGGACTCTCATCCGCTCATAGATAAGCTTTACGCGCTTCTCTGGTATTCACGCAGGACACGGAAGGTCAACCCAACCGAAAAATTTCTCCTGTTCAGGTCCTTCTGCAACCTTCTACCCAAGAAACCCTATATAGCCAAATTCGACTACCCAGCCGTATACTCCATCGATTATGAGGCTCTTATCTCTTTTCCCACAATCATTATCACCACCCCATTCGATGTGGAGAAAATAAAAAACGCGCCTATCCCTCAACTTGTCTTCTTTGATATTTACAACCAGCTGATATCGACCAGTAGATCCTTTTTTACCGACGGTTCTAAGAACGATTCAGACGACCAGATAGGTTTCTCCATATACTCTCCTTCTTCTCATTTGCAACTACTATTCGCGTCCTACTCCTTCTCTTCAATCTTTACTGCTGAAGCACTCGCTATACTCCATACATTAGAGTACATCTCAATTAACTCCACCCCCAGATCCGTTATCTTCACCGATTCCCAAAGTGTTACCAAAGCTCTTCTCTCAATTAATCTAGCACATTCATATAACTACATCATCTATGCCATTAAACAAAAACTACATCAGATCAAAACTGCCGGCTTTGAGATCACCATCGTTTGGATCCCGGCACATATGGGCATTCTAGGAAACGAAACAGCAGACTATCTGGCGAAAAAAGCCATCATCAAAGGTCAGTTGTCCCCAAAACAGCTTCCTCACTCTGACTTTTACTCCATTCCTCGGAGGAAATACATAGAAGACTCAAGCAAATTTCTAAAATTTCAAGCTAGACAAAAAGGAGCCAAGTACTTTAATTCATTCGAAGAAATCATCCTTAAACCCTGGTTCCACAAGCTTAAACTTAACCGAGAGAGCATCGTTACTTGCTGCAGAATTAGATCTGATCACTACGCTCTTAACCACAGCCTACACCGATGCAATTTAGTTGCAGATCCCTCTTGTCCGTGCGGCGCACCGAGACAAGACGTGGACCACGTTTTTTGGGGTTGCCCTCGCTTCAATGGACCAAGGACAACGCTCTTATCTCAATTATGGAAATACGGAAAAATTCCAGCACTCAAGACGCAAGAAATTCTTAAAAACCCCTCCTCTGGGGTCATTCACGCTGTCCATGCCTTCCTCAAATCCTCCAATCTAAATATATAACGCTATTCCCCCTTCTACTGATTTTTCACTCATATTACAACCAGTTGTTGGCTGGAGTGTATCGATCCCACTAGGATCAAATGTGGCCATAAAAAAGGAAGAAGAAGAAGAAGATATAGAAAGACTGAGAGACGACATATCCTATGCATTGTAGTAATTTGCAGAGCAGGTCTGTCATGAAGCACTCGAAAAGAATTCATTAACAAAACACGATTTTTTTAAGCGGAGTTCATTATCATTGTCTCCGCTATTAGAATCTTTTGATATGTTATGAAAATATCAACGCCCATCCATTTAACTTTTGGTCTTGTTGGGAAATAAGTCATTTGCTGTCAAAGCATAAAAAGGATAAACTCTTAACTAATGCAGCTAGTTCAGCTATAAAGAACAGGTTTCATGTTTGTATAGTGTTATTTATTGTCCATTACAAACGATAAAAATGAAATGAAATGTAATGTGTCACGTACAAAAACATGTATTACATATAGAATTATAATATAAAATTATAATATAGAATTAAAAGCTGAATTACATAATATTTTTACTTATACATGCGTATATACATTTCTTATGAAAATATCCTGCTGGTATAAGCTATAAGTATTGCGATACAGATAATTTGACACATATAGCATATATAACTCTTTAAAAGATTGATTTAATAAACTATGCACACATATTATGAAAAATGAAATATAAATGTAACTTCATTTTCCAAATATAAATTAGTTGAATTGAATAGTTTGTACTCTGCAATATCATTCTTATAAATTTATGAAAATTACACTTGAAATACATTAAATTAAACATTTTGTATATTTCTCTATCATTATCTTAAAAGAAATTACAATCTTAAAAGAAATAATAAAATATAGTATTAAAAGTGAATCGCAGCATGAGTATCACAGTTCTTGAAATATATTAATTTAAACATTTTGTATATTTCTCTATCATTATCCTAAAAGAAATTACAATCTTAAAAGAAATAATAACAGTATCAATCTCATTGTTATATGTATATAAATATATGTATTAACAATGAGACTGATACTGTGATTCATACTATTAATGAAACTGATACTGTTATTATTTCCTTTCAGATAAGTACATTTACTAGCATTTCAAATTAATAAAAATCAAGACTGTTGATTACAATATTTTCTATGCTTAATAGTCATAATATCTTGCACTCATATTCGATGATAAAATCTACATATGCTATTCGCTTTCAACGTTTCTTACAATAGTTTGTACTCTGCAATATTACTCTTATAAACTTATGAAAATTACACTTGAAATACATTAAATTAAACATTTTGTATATTTCTCTATCATTATCTTAAAAGAAATAATAACAGTATCAGTATCATCAAAATATAGTATTAATAGTGAAGCGCAGCGTGAGTATCATTGTTCTTGAAATATATTAATTTAAATATTTTGTATGTTTTTCTATTATTATTTAAAAAAAAAATTACAATCTTAAAAGAAATATTAATAGTATCAGTATCATCAAAATATAGTATTAATAGTGAATCGCAGCGTGAGTATCATTGTTCTTGAAATATATTAAATTAAACATTTTGTATATTTCTCTATCATTATCCTAAAAGAAATTACAATCTTAAAAGAAATAATAGCAGTATCGGTATCATCAAAATATAGTATTAAAAGTGAATCGCAGCATGAGTATCACAGTTCTTGAAATATATTAATTTAAACATTTTGTATATTTCTCTATCATTATCTTAAAAGAAATAATAACAGTATCAATCTCATTGTTATATGATATGTATATAAATATATGTATTAACAATGAGACTGATACTGTGATTCATACTATTAATGAAACTGATACTGTTATTATTTCCTTTCAGATAAGTACATTTATTAGCATTTCAAATTAATAAAAATCAAGACTGTTGATTACAATATTTTCTATGCTTAATAGTCATAATATCTTGCACTCATATTCGATGATAAAATCTACATATGCTATTCGCTTTCAACGTTTCTTACAATAGTTTGTACTCTGCAATATTACTCTTATAAACTTATGAAAATTACACTTGAAATACATTAAATTAAACATTTTGTATATTTCTCTATCATTATCTTAAAAGAAATTACAATCTTAAAAGAAATAATAACAGTATCAGCATCATCAAAATATAGTATTAAAAGTGAATCGCAGCATGAGTATCACAGTTCTTGAAATATATTAATTTAAACATTTTGTATATTTCTCTATCATTATCCTAAAAGAAATTACAATCTTAAAAGAAATAATAACAGTATCAATCTCATTGTTATATGTATATAAATATATGTATTAACAATGAGACTGATACTGTGATTCATACTATTAATGAAACTGATACTGTTATTATTTCCTTTCAGATAAGTACATTTACTAGCATTTCAAATTAATAAAAATCAAGACTGTTGATTACAATATTTTCTATGCTTAATAGTCATAATATCTTGCACTCATATTCGATGATAAAATCTACATATGCTATTCGCTTTCAACATTTCTTACAATAGTTTGTACTTTGCAATATTACTCTTATAAACTTATAAAAATTACACTTGAAATATATTAAATTAAACATTTTGTACATTTCTCTATCATTATCTTAAAAGTAATAATAACAGTATCTGTCTTATTGTTATATGTATATAAATATATGTATCAACAATGAGACTGATACTGTGATTCATACTGTTAATGATTCTGATACTGTGTTTTATACTAATTAATGAAACTGATGCTGTTATTATTTCTTTTCCGATTATAATATTAAAAAATACTAAGAAAATACTATTTTTGTAATTTTAGTTTTGAAAAAAGTAAGAAGTATATTATTTTTAGCGTTTCAATAAGTGCATTTGTGAAGGTACATATTTTAATATATACTTTCGTTATTTCATATTATTTGTAACGTGCTTATTATATATTTGTGTCACATTAATGATGAAAGTAATGGCAAACAGTTCGTACAAATAAATTTACATCACTGTACAAAATGTGACACCAATACATAATCAACACGTTTCAAATAACATGGAAGATCGAAAAACTAAACTTGTTATGAACATGTTTTTAAAACCTTTTGCGTTGAAATTACAGCAACTCTGAAATCCATAAAAAAATAGAAATAATGAAAAAATTTGAAGATCTTTGAACTTCCTAATAAAAAACTAAAGAATTTATATCTTCTTTGAATGTTGAGAACTTTAGTATATTATTATAAATATATATGTATTAATTATAAGTATATATTAAATACATATCAATTTTAAAAGTATTTGTTTTTATTAATATAATAATAAATACTTACATTTTCGTTGTAAAGCTTTCTGTTGATTATAAAGCCATGTTTTTATTTGTGGCGATGTACGTTTAGCAAGAGATGTGTATTTTTTTCTTATTGTTTGAATCTCTTGTAAAGATGGTAGTTTCAGTTTTTTCATATGTTCAGAAAATACTTTTAGTGCTGTTTCTTTTTCTTGCTGAGACCAACGAGTCCTTTTCGTTGATCCATAAGGAGATGCTAGAAGAAAAGTAAGGTATTATTTTAAAAAATACTTATATGTATGAAAGTAAATTATAAGCATATACAGGGTGACTGGTATACTCAGCGTGTGTAGGTATAGTTCGCCAAATTAAATACAATAGCCATGTGATATTTTGCATATTTCACGGTATTTATTATTATTAATAAGCAATTAATTATTGAATATCAGCGAACGCATGTGCGGAAATCTGTGCTCTGGAATCATAATCTTTAAGAAAATGCTGCAATTTGTTTACAATCGCCTAACAAGTGATTCCCATCCCCTAGCATAATAACATTTAAAACTTTTGGTTAAGCGGATCAGACTTAAATATTCATTAGAACTGTTGATTATTCGAAAAATCATTAATCCTTCGAATAATCAATAATTATATAATATAAGAATATTTTAGATATAATTTTTGAGACTAAAAATTTTAAATGTAGGAAATGGGATTGCATTAAAACGCTAGTCGCTATATATCGTCCACAGTTGCTATACACAGATGATTGTTAACAAATTCTTGTTCAAATTTTCTTTAAGATCATGACTCAAAATACGGCCACCGATTCATTCGCTAATATTATGCAATTAATTTTTGAATATTGCAAAATCTGCAAAATGTTACAAAATTTCATGTTTACATTGGCGAATTCTACCTACACATCTGTATGCCTTGAATTATCAAAAATATCCTATGCATGAATTATACGAAAAAATTGGAAAACAAAAATTTACACTGCCACAAAACTTTAAAAATTATATATACAATACGTTAATTATTAGTCACAAGAACATTTTTGCTAAAATTTTTTATAGAATAAGTTTTATGAATTATTACAAATGCATATATATATAATAAATAACTTGAAGGACTACAGGCATTTTAGGATAACACTTTAAAAACATTAAATATAACAATACTTTTATATATCATAAACCGACGGAAAATACTCACTAGATCGTTTCCGTTTATTGTTATTTTGCTTTTCCTGAATATTAACATTATCAGATATAAGATAGTCTGAATTGGTGTCTGAAATAAATTTAATTTATGTTGAGACATTAAAATAAATATAAGTAATTATACATAAGTACATATATATAAAGAAAACATAAAATATATAAAATGAAAATACCAAATTAAAATATAGATATAATTACCTGAAGATAGATCTTCTTTTTCATTAAATACACATTCTTTTTCTTTGTCAATAGAGTTGCTTTCTTTTAGTACCTCGTCATTTTCGGAACTGCTATCTGTTGATAAATTCTCATCTGGATTGTTCGTATTACCTTGTACTGCTTCTAAGTATTGTGATATTTTTACTATATCTCTACTAATCAATGGTTGCCTATAATGATCTTTATGAATTTTATCGGAATGACCCATAAACGTAGCAAGGTCTGAAATTTCGACATCATTCAGATTTAATTGGATGCAATATGTTGCTACATGTTTCCTTAATATTGTGCCACGCAAAGTAGAAGATTGACTCGCATCACACTCTTCCGAAAATTTTTGTATTAATGCACATGCTCTGAGATACTTGTATCTTCCTTTGTTATATCCAGGCAATCCAAAAACATACGGATTTTTTTCTGGTACTCCAGCTTGTTTCCGAAATTTTAAAATTAAAATAATACTTTGAAACAAATCGTTTGATAATAATACAGGAACTGTACGTCCTAATTTGCCTCTTATGCAAAATCTTATATATTTTTCAGCTATTTTTCTACTTTCTGTAGACAATGATTTATAAATATCATTATACATATTTTTATTTAATTTCTCATAGCTATTAAAGTCCTCTATGAGAACTCTTTCAATTTCTCCTGCCCGACGTCTGTTGAACACATGTGTGGACGTTAGTGTTACTTCAGCCAAAGAAATCCAGTGACAATAAGAGAACGATTGTTGTAGTGCCAGAAAAGCCTCAGTTCGTTTTTTTTTAAATGTCTGTACAGTTTCTGAATGTCTTCTACTGATGGAAGATGAACTTTTTTATGCCTTTTGCTAGTCGATTGTGTTTTCATGACAGTTGCATTAATGCTTGTTCCAATATCCACAACTAGCAATTTTAAGAAATCTTTAACTTGTTTCTTTTTTTCTGCATTTTCTCTTTGTATGCATTCCATAATTAGGACATTTCCAATATGTTTTATTAATGTTGATAAATTTGATGCTATTGCAGGAGTTTCATACATTTTTTCTTTAGGATTATATTTTGCGACTTTATTAATCGCACAGATGCAGTCATCATATACCTTGGGATC